CCGGCTCCCGCTTGGCTCCAGAATGATTAACTACACATGCTACATCTACAACAGGTGATTATACTATACATTTACTACGGGTCATTTAATTGTTTTGATAAAGGAGTGCGCACCTGAAAAACTGGAGGTTTTGGGGAAAGCTCTAGAGATTATGGAAGAATGGAGAAGTTGTATTTCAACTTTGATAAGACAAAGGCTTTGTTCTTCCCAAAAGGAGGGGAGACAGTTAGAAACCCAAAACTGAGATAAGGGAATAATAAAATATAGTATGTATATGAGGGTTATTTTCGATAGCAAGCTTCCTTTTAATGAACAGTTTAATATTATACATAAGAAAAGCGATAATTTAGTTCTATTGAAATACAAAAGGTCCTTCTCTAGTTAAGCTTTCATCTTTAACACTCAAAAACTTTATGATTAGACAAATTTCTGAATGTACGATAGTGCCAATGATTAGGTATACAGTTGTTCGCTTGGGGGCTAAGGGCAGCGGAGCTGTTGAGGTTTTAATAATAAAACAGGTATAAAGAAGCTGGCTGCTTGCCGTGACAAGATCGTCCAATAAACAGTGCCACCGAGATTGCATGTGTACTTGTGGACATTTCGCCTCTCTCGTTGCAATACGATTTTTTTTTAATAGAAAATATGTAATGCGTTCGCAAACATTTGATGCCTATCAATATGAAGACAATTTTGCTTTTAATACTGCTTTTTATATTTTTAATCATCATCTAATACACCCAAAAAATAGAAATTTATTGATTATAAAAGAGCTCTACCAAAAACTGAAGAGATCGATGTATAAACGGACGTTATCTGGTATTGATTGAGGGAATTGGTATGGCATATGTTATTTATTATTACGGCACAGAAATAAAGAATGGAAAATTAAGAGAAATGCGACTGTGTTTCAGACGTAGATGTTTGCCATTCAAAAATCTGTGGAGTGGCTGAGTAAAAATATGAATTCACTTGGCGATATTACAATTTACTCAGATAGTTTATCAGTGCTACAGGTCCTTGCAAACCTTTGTCAACAAAACCTTAATGCATAAATAATTAAAAACTTATACATTGAATTCAAGAAAAAACACAGAATTCAATTTAAATCTGGTTAAAGCTCACGTTGGATACTTTGGAAGCGAGAGGGTGGATACCTTTGAAGAGGAGGCCGTGAAGGAAGCAAACATTGCGGTAGTAGTTGTACAAGGCTCTAGAAAAATAACCATAAACATTTATGAAAAAATATATTTATAAGAAATGGACTGAGAAATAGAATACTTCAGAAAAGGAAAGAGGCTATATGACCGCCTTTGAGATAAAAGAACATATGGATAGTTATGACAAATTGATCTTAATCAAATTTTAACAGGCCATGGAAGATTCCCCCAATATTTGAAAAGGTTTGGTTTGCAGGAAAATGATAAATGCAGAGTTTGCGATAAATCAGGTGACAGTTTGCATTACGTTAAGGAATGCTGTCTTAAAAGACGTGTTTCCAGAGCAGACGAATATTTTATCATTATAAATAAGGGAAAGAAAAAAAATGAATTAATACTGCAAAAGAAATAATGCTAATTATAAACCAAAACAGAAAGATCGTCGTTATAGACTGTTAATTTTATTTTATGTTCTATGTATGTGAATATGTGTGTAGCTATTTGTAAGTGTGATTTTGAGTGTTTCTTTATTTTTTATTTGTTATTAACCTTCAATATTTATAGTTAGTTTTATTATTTTCTTCTCTCTTTCTTGTTGTTTAAGAACAAATGGTTTTATAAGTAGAATACCGATTGGTTTATAAGTAGAATACCGATTGGTTGCATATTTTTTAGTTCCTTTGGTTATGTTTAACTTTGGTTATGACTAACTTTTTTTGTTACTCGTGTACAGACATTAGGTTATTTCGAGACCGGGGAGATGAAAAATGTGCAACGCCTTCCCCGAGAATCGAACCGCAGACCTCTGGAATACGCTTCAAGCGTGCAGACCACCACACCACGAAGGCATGTCCAGAAAAAAAAACCAGTTCCCCTTTTAAAGGGCGACTGCGGGGTTTAGGGAACCCAATCGCCAAATCCTGGGTGTGGAGAACCATCATCCAATACCATTAAAATTGTGGAGCCACTGTAGAGACATTAGGTTATTTAGGATGCAAGAGAGATTGAAAAATAAGCAAACGCCTTCGCCGGGAATCGAACCCCGAACGTCTGGAATACGCCCCCCGCGTACAGACCACCACACCACGAAGGCATACCAAGAAGGCGGGAGAAATACCTTAGATTCGGAACTCGGGATTTGTTTTTCGGAGCTCTTTCGTATTAAATTAACATTAAAAATAAATTATTTATATGAAACTGAATTAAAGCATGATTGGTTAGTGACGAGGCCGGGTCGCTGGCCGCCATCGTTTGGTTGTTGAAGCTGGCGTAGCTCAATTTGATGACCATGGGGCAGAATTTATGCCAAGTGGGTCGGGCTGCGACCTTGTTTATACCGCCCTAGTTCTAACTTTTCTGCCGCCCAGCCGGTATAGTGGTCAGGGAAGCTAGCTGACTGCGATGCCGAAGGGCCTGGGTTCGAATCCCGGAGAAAGCATGGTTGTAACTGTCCGTCACTTCATAGGAAAGGCGATGGTGGCCCACCTATTAGGTGCCTCCATAATAAAGAGACCACCACATCTGGCCTTGTATAGATTAATGGAGTGGGTTACATTTGTAATTGCTCACAATCTGCCATTGGAAAAAAAAAAAAAGTTCTAACTCTTCTCTTAACTAACCTTTTTTGTTACCTGGGTCTTGAGGGCTGGTTATCCTGCAGTTTTAGTGTTATTGCACCTAATTTAATTGTGTTGTTAGGGAATTTTATTTTGGAGACACAGCTGGCCGGCTGGCTGCCGCGTGTGTTGTTGGAATGGCCACTCTCTATTTTAGCCATGAGGCCGATATTAGTCGGTCTGGTGGGCTAGAAGGCTGCGCCCTAATTATGACCTTACATACTTCCCTTTTAAAGAGCGACTGGGGAGTAGGGGACCTAGTCACCAAATCCTGGTGATGACGATTATCCTCCACCACCTTTTAGTTCTGGCGCCACTTGTAGAATCATTAGTTTTTTTAATTAATTTATTTATTTAAAAATTTTTTTAAGCTGGTGACAGGGAAATCAGCACTGCCCTCGCCGGGATTAGAACCTGGACCTCTCGAATACGCGCCGAGTGTGCTACCGTTACATCACGAAGCCATGCTGGAAGGAGGGAGAAAATATATACACCTGATCGAATCACCAAATCCCGGGGATCGCGAATCATTGTCCACCACCTTTTAGTTTGGACGCCAGTGTAGAGTCATTAGGTTATTTTGAAGCAGAAGACATGATAAATGAGCAATGCCCTTGCCGAGACTCAAACCTGGACCTCTCGAATACGCTCCGAGTGTGCTACCGTTACACCACGAAGGCATGCTGGAAGGAGGGGAAAAGCATTATTGTGTTGGTTGAATTTGCATTCTGTGAAATATTTCAAGAAATCATTGATAAAAGGAATGGAGGGAAGGGTGGCTAATTAAGGCCTTCGCGGAGGATTTCAATTTCGCGGTGCTTAACAATCTTAACCGCACGCCCTCTGGTGAACATAATCAAACATCAATTTAATAAATATATGCACCAAATGTATCAAATGTGAAAAGGAAAAGTGTCTCAGAGACAATTTGCTAAATATGAGACGTATAATTCCCAAAGATGAGATACAATCAATACATATTTTTGACGCTTAAGAAAGGTATTAATATACGTGATTTGATTATGAGAAATTGCAAAGTTTGCTTCAGATATAATGTTATTTATTGACAACCACACCCGAATTTTATTGTTCAGTTTTCTAAAAAATAAATAAATAAATATATCTTCGTGAAGGACTTTTAAAGACAAACAGGCTTGCATTCAAATTACACATGGGCAAGAGCACGAACTTCCCATGCAACCACCCCTTTTGCCGGGTATTGAGGTTTCAGCGTACAGTAATTTTCTAACTTGGCCACTATTATATGCGAGTAAATACGGAAAAGAAATGACAATATCATATATTACATTAATTCTCATTGAATATTTTCGATCGAATACATAAATCAAAATATTTGATTCAAAATTCGTGAATCTTTAAATATATCGATTTTTTTATAAGTTGTGCAAATTTATTATTATCGTATATTTCCAAATATAAGCTGATACGTGTGTAAGATTTTGCTGCAAAAGATTACAGGTAACATTTTGCTGCAAAAGTCCAGCAAATCTGAAAACTTCCTTACATGCCAAATCCAAAACTAACCTATATATTACAGCTATATAAATTGCTAAAAATGCAACTAATTGATTATCAATCAATCTAACAGTCAAAAGCTAGTACCAGTGCACTTTTAGCTTCCATTCGAAAAATAGGGCTGAGCGGCACTTTAGGTATTATGAATTTGTAATTAGGGTTTTTTTGCATCTTTTAGTATGCGTATAATTTGGCGTACTACCAATTAGCGTGGCAAATTTTACGTTGCTTCTTAGTTGTAAACCTACGTCCAAGCAGTTAAGATACTCATCCTGCTGCGATTTCATTTCTGCTATGCAATTAAAAAAAGAAAAGAGAGAGAGATTACATATTCTGCTAGTTTTAAAACAGAAGTCGTTGCATGTGCTGAGCGATGCTATGAACGGAAATAAAGATGAAATTAATTTAGGAGGCGGATTACAACGATGTTAACAGTGAAGTGGAGGGCGATGACATTCACCTGGGCTTTCTTTGTTAGAATAAAATAAAATTTTTCTTTTCAGTTAGTAAACCATTAATATTATTTTTGTATATAAGTTCACCTAGATACTTCATTAGTAAAACATTTTCAAAACTTCTATGCTTATACACGAAATATATGGTAATATTTGTATTATGAGTTAAATAACCACAAAATTAACCAAAGCGGTAAATTAAAAGTAATATGATATTATTTTTTTCTATATAGGCTTTTAAGACGAGATGCAGTGAAAATCCTAGGAGTTTCTGCATAATATTAGGACGACACCTCGTAGTTCGTAGCTGTTTGCAGATAACCCAGCTGCTAATTGTGGACGTCACTGAACATGACGAAGGATACTTTGTTTCTAAAGTTAAGATGGTTTTCTACGATATCTTTTTTTTCATCTATGATAACTGTGATAATAGAAGCTTGTTATTACAGAGATTATAAAGACGATTTAATACGAATATTAACTTTGTATGTATTAACTCTGTGGTTTACCGATGGGGATTTTGTGGCATACGTTACGAGGAAGAAGTTCGATAATTGCTTAGCCAAGTTTATGTTCGATTTCGGTAATTTTTCTTTAGCTGTGGTTTTCATTTTTCTACAGTGGGCTTTTAATGTGTATTTCCTGGATACTGTATATATGGGCAAAGATCCAACTTTATTTTGAAGAACTTTCAAGAAAGTGAATGACAGAACTGTTCAAGCGGAAAGTATAATAATTGCAGCATTGAGGAGCTGAAAAATTAAGAATGGAAACATTTGAAGATTAAAATAATATTCAAATTGTATTTGCATCTTCATTAACTGTTATTTCAGTTATTTAGGGAAAGTAAGCTCAAAAACATGGCACAATTAAATATTTCCTGAACTATCGTCGACTCCAGTTTGAGAATTGAGTTAAATAAAATAAGCTTTCATGTTATAATTTTGATTATATGGTATTATCTTTTAGTAAAAATGGAAATCATTAAGGTTTTTATATGGATCCTATGAAAAGACATTTCAAATTTTCCATTTACATATCTTTTAGAACGGAGATACAGTTCGTAAAATGGTGAATTTGTCCTGACAAAATGGTAAACATTATGCGGCATAAACGTTCACTTAAAGCAAAAATGTCGAATTTAAAGGCTGGATGAAACTGAATTTCGCGAAATACAAAATTCCAAATTTCAATAATTCCACGCTTCATTCGTATCCCGTTATTATATTACTGTCTATCTTTCAGTTGCTTTTTATTTGTGTTATTAGAATTGCGTGCTATTCGGCTTCAGAGAGTAGATTTGAAGAAAACGTATGAACGATGTAAATAAATCATAAGCATCTCAATTTCATCTGTTTATAACTGCAAATGACCTTCATCTTAAATAGGCAATTTGATAGTTTCCAGTAATTACCTTCAATATAAATATGCTACAGTATAAAGTAATACCAAACAATTGAGTTACAAAAAACAATTATGCGCAATATTGCAGAATTAAATGCAGTTTCTATGTATTTGATGTTGATTTATACTGTCTGATTAAAGCCAAGAGAAAAAAGAAGTGAAAATATCTTTTACCATAAGGAATAGGATTGTTAATATTTGTGTAAAAGAAATCCATTCCGTATTTTATTTTATATATAATTTATCATATACGCATTCGAAATGAATCTTCGTTGTGATGATGCAAATAATTAAAATTTTAAATAATAAAAAATAGGATAATTTGTTGGTTTAAGCGTGATATACAAATTTCAAACTTGGTCAAATGATGTTTGAGAAAACTGCGCATTTATTATTTCTAAAATTATGATTTATTACTACGCTTTTCATGTAAATATGAAGAAATGCAAATACTCCACCTTTTTTTTTCTGATTGCTGTCAGCATAATGGATGTAAAATAATCTGTATTAAATTTTTCATGAAAACTGCGTTATTGAGTCATCTGTGTTTTTTTATTTATTACTCTGTATGTCAATAACATGCAATTGAATATTGAATAATGTGCAGTGAAATATTGGGATAAAGCATCCAGTCTTTTCTTCTACACTATATTTTTGGAAATTACGGAAAATCCTAACATGATGGATAATTTGAACCCTTTCATAGCAAAACACGCGTAAAATCCAGGAGATCAAATAAAACATGTACCATTTCAGTCTATTTCTTATTATAACAGTTCGTTAACTGCTCGGGATATTTGCGGAAAGAATTACTGCTGATTCTGAGTCCTTTCATAGACCTGTCTATAACATCTCTTAATAAGTGTAACCGTATCATCATGAATTATCGTATTTATAATGTTAACCCAATAACTATTTAATTAAAGATTTAACCAATGCTGAAGTACTGTGGAACCTTGGTTCACGAAAAAAGTTTTCAAATGAAACTGTCTTAAATGATAAACGATGTCTCGAGATATCAAAACGTAAACCAGCAACAAATGATACTTCAAAACTCCAAAATGCAATTAATGCAATGGAGGAAATGTCTTCAGAAAAAGGAGACGGAAGGAAAGATGTTCCTAGTTATTTCCTTCGCAAAATTAGTGCAAACTAGCGTAAGGTGTAAAGATTTATAGAATATTATCACCTGATAAAACAGTAGTAAGCCGTAGCATAAAAATTTGCAATGACAATTCCATGTCTTACTTTATGAACACTTTAAATGTAGACTGAAACAAATCACATTGAACAAATTTTTAATGGGAAAAGAAACCCAGCCATTCTCAAGCGGAGGCGAACGATGTTCAGAGAAGAATAAATACGCAGAGAGAGAGAGAGAGAACGGAGAACACGCGCACTATCCCTTTACCAAACGGTTAATCAATATAGCACCACGTCCACCACTATCTATAGCACCCCCTTCAAAATACATAATGCCACCTGAAAGGTGTTCAACGTGCACGACAGGACATACAAAATAACATGTTACAGAGTTACAGATTAATATTCAAGATACATTACTGGTACATTTCTGATGCAAATATGACTGATGTAGAACTCATACAAGGCTGATATAATACTGATACTGATATTAATACTGATTAACACTGCTACAGTACTAATTCATTGATATAACAATGATTATTAATACTGATTAAATGGGAATGATTTTGCACGAGTTCGTAAATAAATCCACGAAATAATACGTTACAGAGACTCAAAATATTGCGAATTAAAATATCACAGATCAATGTTCTACTGTTACATTACTTGTACATTACTGATGAAATATTACTGATACAAGGCTGATATAATACTGATACAATACTTTTACTGATGTAAGACTGTTATATTGCTCATGCAATATGCATATACAATACTTTATTAATACTCATACAATACTAATATTAATATTCATACTCATACAATACTGGTATTAATACTCACACAATACTGATTAATTGTAAATGGGAATGATTTTGTACAAGTCGGTAAGTATAACCACTGAATAACACGTTACTAAGACTCAAGCTATTGTGAATTAACACATCACATATGCATTATCGACACATTACTGTTACATTTACTGATGCAAATACGACTAATACACTATTGATATAATACCGATACAATACTTTATTCATATACGACTGTTACATTACTGAAACAAATATGCTTATACAATATTTAACTGTTACAGCATTGATACAATACTGGTATTAATGTTGGCACAATACTGATTAATACTGGTACAATACTTTACTGATGTAAGAGTGTTATATTATTGATACAAATTTGCATATAATCCATACGGAGCATATGCTTATGACAACAGTAGAATTTACGCTGTCTGACACAAGTCCATGCCCAGCGCAGACGGTTTGTCCATTAAATTGACAATCTTTGTAATCAGATATCTCTGCTTTATGATAAATTTGCAGAAGGCCTGCCTGTTGGTACTTGGCAGCTGAATATGAAGATCAGTTGTCAATGGGCAGGTGGTCAGGTAATGCTCTGGAGACCCAATATCTCTGCTGCAGCAGAACTCAGTATGGCTGAGTCCGCGTTTTACAAAATATTGCGGAAATGGACCATGGCCGGTGATAAATCGGACGAGCTGAGGGTTGGAAATGATACGGTCAGTATCCACATACGCTATGTGATACTGCGTTGTGTCGACCGGTGGAGCCCTGGTCCTATTCCTCTTGCCACCGTCCAATGGCCTTCAATCTGAAGCATTTCTTTAGATAAGAAATAGGCCATGGAATATTTATTTGAGTATCTGCATTGCCTGAAGCTGCCTCTTGGGATAGACTGTCTGCCGTTTCGTTTCCTTAATGCCCAGCATGGGCTTTGATCCACTCAAGTTTAAGAAAGGGGAAGAAAGAAAGACAAGCAGCTTTCGTATATTTTTGCGGAATATTATATCCATTTCAAACAATAACATTTTACAGCTCTAGCCTCTTAATTGTTTTCTACTTACGCCGTCAATTTTCCTTCATAGTGCTTTAGAAAAAATTAATTAAAATTTTCTTATTTTTTATATATTAAGTTGTGTATATGTTAATATTGTGCATGTCTAAGATTTAATGAAATCCATTGGTTTTGCATTGCGAACTTAGGAAAAGGACTCTAAGCAATCATTTGGGATCTGGGAAGGGATTAATTCACTTTGCATTAATTCCTAAGGGAACAATTGTGTCAGTTTACCAATATTTCGGATTACGAATTATATACGGGAATGAATTAAGCTCATGAACCAAGGTTTCATTGTAGTTCCAAGCTTTTTTATTAATGGTTAGTGAAGACTACCAATTACTAAGCAGTTTTTCAAAATAGATAATAATGTAAGAAAGTGTTTTTTGTAGCGTTTGTTTTTGCGAAGCTGATATTCGTCATTTCCGAAAATTTTAGAAGATTTAATCCTATTTCACTTTTTTTCTTGCCTTACAATGACAAATAATATGATGTAGATGAGAGTGGATGCGAATGCGTGAATGGGCAAATTAAGTAAATGAGATTGGGAACTATATTTTAAAATACTATATTTTCAATGTCTTCTTTTCCCCCTTTCTAGGTAGGTCAGGATGTGGCAAAATCCACTTAAAAGAAAAATCTAAAATAAAACTTTTTGCGCATTTGTAGGGAGTCGGAAATTTCGACGGTTTAATCCCTCTCTTTTTTATTTTTTTATTTTATTTTATTTTTTTTTTTATTTTATTTTTTTTTTTTATTTTTTTTTATTTTTATTTTTTCAGTTTTCTTAGGGTAACTGAAATTAGCCAAGAATAAAAATTTTAGCAGTCAAGTAACTTTGCAAAGAAATTTATCCGTTAATCAAACAATTATGGTAAAACCACAAACTGTTCGAAATATTTCGTTTTAAAATTAGAGATCATATTCAAGAACCTTAAACAAGCTAAGAGTGAAATGTTTTGCATTTGTACATAATTAAAACTAAAATACCTGTTTAAAAAAAGTTCTAATATTAGAATAAGTGGCGAGCATTTCTATGCAGATTGCCTTGAAAAGCATTTACTATCAGTAAAAATTTTCAAAAAGGAGATCTTATTCACTGAATCTTGAATAATTTGTATCCGAGAAAACACTATTTGACATGTACTGACATTTAAAAACTCTTAGTATTATATATGTAAACAAAACAAAAAAATATATAGTTTGATAATTTTTTGTATGTTTATTATGTGACGACTCTAAAGTAGTAAAACTTCAGAAAATAATAATAATAACGTATCTCTATTTCTTTCTGTAAATAATATCGTTGAGTTTCAAGCTCGAACAAAAGAGTCGGAACTGATGCTTTTTGGCATTCTTTTTTAAAGATCGGTGATCTGACCTTGCATGTCACTCAACAAACTGTTTTTTTCCCCTTGTCATCAGTTGTCATTAGTTTAGAAAAATTACTTTAAAAAATTCTACAGATCACCACAAAAAATACTTAACAATGAAAGCCAAAGCTTATATATGCGTAAGTGAAGTGGCTTTTATAAAAATTTAGAGGATTAGAAAGCCAGTGCTAAGAAAGAGGACAGCAGGAGAGCGCCTACTAATTACTTCATTGTTGGGGTGGTACAGTGGCTTATTTTATTTATAATACTCTTGCATTTTAGTAGGACCACTGTGATCGATATAGTGAATTAACCACAATGGCTATCAGGTTCAATGTTCCTTCTAACCTTCTTCGGGAACATACACGGACCTGACTCGGAACAGAGAGCTTACTAAAGCTATGTTCACTAATTGTGGTAAGTAGACAGGATACAGACGAAGGGTATACAAAACCCTTTATTTTTCTCTATATACAATAACTTGCGTACTTCGGAATACACTGACCCACCACTCGGGGTCTAACGTAAAATTCTAAAAAATAAAACTAAACTCTAATTTAACTTTAAAATAATACACGTGGAAGATTGGCCTTATAATAACAGGAAGCGTATGTAGCACAGAGACTGTGAACACTACAATACGTTTAATTTATCAAGAGGATTAAAACCTCTGGCCTGGAAGGCGAATAGCAACTGCGTAACTTCTAAGGTAAGCGGCCTGCGTTGACTTACTGCTTCCTCTCTCTCGCTTGGCAAAAAGGCCACACTTAACTACTTGGCGTTCGCCAGACAACTTTGCATAAAAACCTTCACGCTTATAATTCTGGCCGGAAGTAGAAAATAAGAAGTGATAGTAAAGATTTAAAATAAAATAAACGTTAGTAAAACTTAAGATCCTTACATACTTCCCGCCAGAGTTAATTAGTTTGAAACTGAGGTCTAAAACGACCTTGTTGAAAACTTTTAGCTCTAGAAACTAACGCGAGGCCAATCTTTTACAAAAAATGCTTCGCTAGAAACTAGAAAATTTAAAAGAAAGAAATTTGTTACAATAGCAGCTCCCAGGATATACAACAATCTTTTTTTTCATCTGTACTGCATCTAAACAGGAGCTTTATTCAATTCTGGTTCCTTCCA